AATACATGACCACCAATATAAATAAATAATAAATAATAATAATAATAATAATAATAGTAATAATAATAATAATAGTAATAATAATAATAATAATAATAATAATAATAATAATAATAATAATAATAACAGTAATAACAACAATAATAACAGCAATAATAATAATAATACTGATAAAAAAAATAATATATATATTATACACCTTCGTGTCTAATAGTTATGACGCTCGTCTTGACAGCGAGAGGTCGCAGGTTCGAGTCCCTCCAGAGGCATTTTATGCTACACGATGTATTATTATGTCCTTTATTCGAACATTGTATTTACATTTCTTTGATGATTTATATTATTGCCTTTTATTTTCATCTATTCTTGTTCTTTTTCGTTAATCGGTTATTTATATTGGATTCAGTCGAGCAGTACCTTACCCGCTTGCTGTAAGAGATGCCTGAAAACTCATTGCTGAATATAGTTTGGACGTCCCTTTCTAAGCATTTTGAATGAAATGGGGCCGCCAACCGTCGATATTCAATCTGTCAGTTAAAAACAATATGACGTTATTCTATTTTGGAAATCGCCATCATCATTTCCTTTTTCGTCCTTCTTATATATGTTATAGGCATATATATATATATATATATATATATATATATATATATATATAACAAATAGGTATAAACAAATAGGTAAATGAGAGAAACAGTGCTCAATCGGCATATATGTACAGTAACATGTATATATAGGGGTCTAAGCAAATAAACAAATAACAACAGTGCTCGAATTAATTTAAACATTTTGTAATAATCGTTTCAAGCATAACTCATCAATTAAAAATTCCTTTATTTTATTGCATGCAAAAGTGGCGGCGCTAGGGTGGCAAGGGGAATTCTCCCCCCCCCCCAGAATATTTTCAGCCTTCTACTAGTTTTCCCTCTCAGTTTTTGCCGGAAAATGAACATTGTTAAATATATTGCTCCCATCGGTCTGTTTGTAATTTTTAAGGCCAGTGGCCGCTTAGACACGATGCATTTAACAAAACTGTATAGAAGCGTAACCCGTTAATTTGATGTTATAAATTGTAATTGAACCTCCAGTCTGCTATGGGAAAGCATATTCCCCCTTCCCTCCTCCCCCACCTCCCGATTACGTGGTGTTATATTCCATTACCTAATGTGATTTACCACGATCAGGTGGGAAGAGACTCTTTTTAATTGACGACATTTACTAATCAACTCAGATGTCTTATTAAACTGATCGTCCAAATAGCTCGAGGCTACATTACATTGCCCATAGGTGGCGTTAACTATTGACGAGTGTTTCAATATGATCTATTTAATTTCAAATTTTGTATTGTACCTAACATACTTGAATAATTTAGATTGTCGTCACAATAAAAAGAATCTCTTCCCAAATCTGGGAGCTAGATCTAGACTAATGAATGATAGTTCTGATAGCGCG